TTTTAACAGTCCGAATCGTCAAACTTGATGAATTAGGAGGAAGGTAGATGAAAATAATCCATTTCCGGGGTTTAACTTGTTTCCTGGTCTCTTTACGTATTTACAGTAAAACGACATACTGTCTTGGTATCTAAACTACATGGTCAATGTGTTAATCATTTCAAAACCGTTAATTGATATTTAACTATAACTTCGCTAAATCAGATTAATAGTATGGTAATTAAAATAGTGTCTTCAATTCATTTTTAATTATTTGAGTTTTTAAACTAAATTTACCCTCTAAAAAAGTCATTCTGCAATATCTTTGAGACAAATAATATGATTGAACAAATCAAATAATTACCAAAAACAAAAAACAAAAAACAAAAGCGTGCGAAAGTCATTCTTCATGAGAAAATTAGACTTAGTTGTGAAGTAGGAATTTTCATCCTGATCGATCGTCTGATTGATCGATTTAGACATATTAACTTTCGCATAAGACCAAAAAATTATAAAACAGAGTGTTGCTATCTTATCTTTTAGTCGTCCCTTGATTAGTGTATATAGCTGTTGAGGCATCGTAAAGGATAAACCAACACGTTTCTTTTGGTGGTAATTAAGATAAATATAACACCACTACATCAATAAACAATATGTAAATTAAATTCAATGAATTATAAAACAAAAAACATAATTACAAAACAAAAAACAAGAACATGAGGTACTGCTCTCTGCATGCAATGCAATGCTGTCAGCAAAATAATAAGAAAATATTAATTTTTACGTACGCAATGCACGTATCGGATTTATAGTAAGTACTAAGACGTGTTTAATTAGTGAGCCTAAAATTTGTTTTGACTTTTTTTTTTTTGTTTTTTTGTTTTTAAGAGAAGTTTGTTTTGATTTAAGTTATTGTTTTTTAACATGGATGTAATGCTACTTAGTAGTTAGAATTACAGTCTATTGGTATTTTTCTTCACTTGTAAGTGAGAGATTTTAAGTTCAATTCTCATCAAAGCAAATTTAAATCATATTATTATGGATAACCCAGTCTCCCACCTTAGTGTATATAATATTTTTTGTTAAAAAATAATTAATATATTATCTACTTTTTTTGGAAAACTATCTTACAGATGGACTATTTTATAAATTCCGTATGGACCCAAAATCTCATAGATATCCTAATGTATAAGCATCGTAAAAGATAACCAACACGTTTCTTTTGAAAACAATTAAGATAAATCACTACTTCCTTAACAATATGTAAATTAAATTCAATGAATTTCAAAACAAAAACAACAACATGAGGTATTGCTCTTTCCATGCAATGCTGTCAGCAAAAATAATAGAGAATTATTAATGTGTACGTACGCAATGCATGTATCGTCTTTATTTAAGTATCAAATCAATTAAACACATGTTTAATATTTGAATTAAGAAAAATGCTAAGAAAAATCTTTAACCACCGTATCATGTGATCTACAAAATATCATTCGATATAGACCCGTAAATTAAGCCGTCCACGTTTTCATGCACAGACATGTTAGGGATACTGCCAAGTTTTGATTATGATTTAGCTACTGTTGCAACATGTAGTTTTCTGCCAGAACATTTGGATAAAGATAAGATGAAATTATTACCCAAAAAAAAGAAAAGATGAAATTGATTTACCTTAATTTTGTTCCTTTCAATCTCAAACCGAATTGAGATTTGATGGGTTTATGACCGTGTGTCATGGGTTTCGCATGCGTTCACTATAAGCAAGCCGTGAATCGAAATTATTTTAATTTGGGGCCCGTTTATAAGTACTTTTAAAATGATCAAAAATATTTTTTATGAAACCATCTTTAGAACAAATCCTTTTTAAAAACTCAAGTGAATCATGGAAAAGCACTTTAAGTGCGTTATGGAAGAAGAGAAAACACTTCAAGTGCTTTTGGAACGCAAAAACATTTTCTTTAAAAACGTTTTCATTCATTTTAAAAGTACCCGAAACAAGCCCTTAATGATTTGTGACAAGAGCCGACTTTGGGGATAGCAAAAGGCGCAATTGCACATGACTCCAATTTGAAGGGGCCCTAAAAATTTTGGAAAAATATATTACGGAGGGAATTTTTATAAATTTTATACAGGACTCCTAAAATCTCAGACAACCCAGTGTGACCAATACAATGGTTCCTATCAAGACTATACTAGACCTCAGGTGTAAGGCTTAGTGCAAGGGTCATCTTCAAACTTTAGGAAAAGGATCCTCGCTGGATCCTTTTCTTGGGGATCCAGGGGATCTCGTAATCACGTCCGTTCATTGTACATCGTAGGGTCAGAAATTATTTAAAATTAAATATAAATAGTACCCAACGAAAATTAGCTGCACGATGTACGATGAACGGATATGATTACGAGATCCCCCGGATCCCTAACTTTACACCAACAATACGTAATGCCCGAACACATGGCTAAAATAGGTTAGGCTACAACACGAACATGTACTTGGTACCTGAAAATATTATTATCATGGCCAATTGAATAGTGTAACACCACTTTTAGGGTACTACTTAGAACTATTTGATGAGTTATTTGTAAGTCTTCACTTGTTTGTAGCTCATCATCTTACTCCTATTATCAAGCCAACTTTACAGCAACAATACCTAATGCCCGAACACATGGCTAAACTAGGTTAGGCTACAACACTAACATGTACTCGGTACTTGAAAATATCATGATCATGGCCAATTGAATAGTGTATCACCACTTTTAGGGTACTACTTAGAACTATTTGATGAGTTATTTGTAAGTCTTCATACTTGTTTGTAGCTCATCATCTTACTCTTCTCGTATCGTCGAGGTTTATTAGGAAAAAAAATACTAATTTTGTTCGTTTACTCAAACGGAAGATATCATTCACCTAAAGATTAGACCCTAAAAAAGGCCAAAAGCAAAGAAACGACCTGTCAATTTCTTGAAAACGAAATTTGGGCAATGGGGTGGATTCCATTCAAAGGTTCATAGTTTCCTCCTCTTCTTTTTCCTAGATGATCTGCAATGCTCTCGCTACAAATGAAACGTGCTTGACTGACCTCTCGGTACAAATGAAACGTGCTTGACTGACCAAATTATATTAAAAGATATCATCCAGCACTTACAAAAAGTTAAAATTCTTATTGATGGTTCCTTATTGAGGGGCGGCATTTTGATGAGCTACAGCGCCGTTTCTTGTGTGGTTCCGGCTCCTCCAGCAACCCCAATCAAGCTTTGAACACAGCAAAAATGTGCGGAAAAGTCTGCAGAATTTTTAGTTGCAGCTAATTTTGACCTTAAAAAGATGCTCTATTTTAAGGATGATGAGAATGACTGTCATACCGCCACATAATTTTATAAAGTCGTGTATTATAGTATGAGTTATCAACGACATGGTATGATGCTAGTTGGTATACGCAAGGACTTTGACCTTGTAACAGTGATCAATTGGTTACCAAATCTTAAACATCAAGAAACTACTCTTTGGATTGTGATACGATCTAAATAGCTAGTGATTGCGATGTTTAGCGATCAGTAGAGCTTTAATAATTTTTTTTGGGTAAATTACACTTTCATACCTCATGTTTGGGATATATTTCAATTCCTTACAACATCTTCAAAACATTTCACTTTCATACCTTAAGTACTATTTTATTTCAAAATAATACCTCCGTTACATTTGTCATCCATTGATCTGTTAAATGCTGACGTGGCTGCCACATATATGCCACGTGGCTGCCAAATGTCTGCCACGTGACAAATAAAATAATTTTTTATTTATTTCAATTTTTTTATTTTATTTTATAATTATTATTTATATTTAGAAGATTAAGGTTTTAAAAAAAATTTAAAAATTAATTTTTTTTTTTGCCACATGTCAGACATTTGGCAGCCACATTAGTATTTAACAGATCAATGAATGAAAAATGTAACAGAGGTATTATTTTGAATTAAAATAGTACTTAAGGTATGAAACTGAAATGTTTTGAAGATGTTGTAAAGAATTGAAATAGACTCCAAACCTGAGGTATGAAAGTGTAATTTACCCCTTTTTTTTAGCTATAAATAGGGTAGGACGCCAAACCCTAAACCCTAAACCCTAAATTCAAAATCGGGCTTTTGTTTGAATACCATGAGGCCCAAACCCGAAGCCCAAACAAGAACAGAACTATACGAGGAGAAGATCATTGTGGAGATGGCCCAGAGCAGAAACAAGGTAAGCAGTCCACTTAGTAACAAAATAAAAAAAGCCCAATCCAATATGGATTTAAGCCCAATCCAAATACTTGTCGATGGGCTATCTTTGCAAGAAGAAACTTTGGCGTATTATGCATATGATATGAGTGAAGCTGCATAAAATGAAAATTTTCAGTGTGTAAGAAACACGGTTTAATACATTAAATGTAATAAAATAACTGGTTTAAAACTTGAAGAAAAATAAAAAATTTCAACGCATGACATTTGCTATACCGGATCGTGTTTCCGATACACAACAAAAAATCTCAAATCCATAAAATCTCCAAAATCCACTAAAAGAATAATGAAAAGATCAAGAATTTAATATCTAACTGATTCATGCTTTGTTCAAAGTTCAACCACTTCATATATTAATAAACATGATCATACACTTCAAAGTTAAACATGATGAGTCCAGATCCTCTTTGTGAGGATTTTAGAGATCTGTGAATCATGTTCATTTATCGTATATCGTGCGGTCAGAAATCATTTTAAATATTTTTATTTAAAATAAACATAAACAGTACTTGACAAAAATTAACCACACGATATACGATGAATTGACACAATTTACTGATCTCTAAGATCTCACCAAAAGGATCCAGAGAAGATCCGGTTGGAAACATGATTGTATTATCTCCTGAAATAGGGCCCATAGGGGACACATAGATGTGCCACATGGACACCTTCCTCACTCATCCATGATAAGGTCAATTATTTGAGATTACATGCACAAGAACGCCTTCACTATAAATAGTAGCTCCTCACCCACATTATCCAAAAACCCAATTGAAGCCATCAAGCAGCGGATTCTGCAAATCCAAAAAAAAGAAAAGAAAGACCAATGTCTGAATTCACAGAAGATTTTCAAAGCATTAAACCTTCATTTCCTTTCTTAGATATTGACCCAAACATGGAACTAGTAAACCAGTTTGCAGATCAATTCAATATTCCAAGTGTCATGGAATATCCAAGCTTGAATTTCCACACCTACATGCCCTTCTCAAACGACAGTTGCTTGTTCAGCAATCAAGAACCCGAGTTCCCTGCCGGAAACATGGTCGAAAACTTTCCAAAATTAGAAGTTCATCAGATAGTTGCGGATGGAAATGAAAGCAAGAAGAGAATAGCAGTGGATGATGCATCACAGAGCAGCTCTGGAATCTCTACTCCCCCAGTTTCCGAAACCGGGATTACGCGAAAAAATGTAACTATTTAAATCTTGTTTCTCAGTTGCTTGAATTTGTTTTGCCTTGTATAGTTCTCTGTTTGATTTTGTTCGTTTATTTGCAGAGCGCAGGAAGAGGAAAGAGGGTCAAGAGCAATGAGAAGGAAGATGAGAAACCAAAGGAAGTTGTTCATGTTAGAGCCAGGAGAGGGCAAGCTACTGATAGCCACAGTCTAGCAGAAAGGGTAACTAAATTTGCATGTAATTCGTTTTTTTTAATTTTTTATTCAAGCTATATTCTAATTCAATTACCAAGATAAATTTGTTAAATACATTGTTTCTTGGTTTTAATAAATGTTTATGTGAATGTTGTCAATCAGGTTAGAAGAGGAAAAATCAATGAAAGACTGAGATGTTTGCAAAATATTGTCCCAGGGTGCTCCAACAAGGTAATTAAGATATATATTTTGTAACATAATTAATATCAGTAAAATTTTATTAATAACTTGATAAATTTAAGAATCGTAAGTTTAATTACGAACTCGTTAATGTAAATTACAGACGATGGGAATGGCGGTAATGTTGGACGAGATAATTAACTATGTTCAGTCCTTGCAGAACCAGATTGAGGTTAGTTTGACAATGATCGAATATTTCTTGTTAATTTGTTCTCCTCTGGAAAATTAATGTTTCTTTTCGCGTCGAATATTTCAGTTCCTATCTATGAGGCTGGCTGCAGCAAGCTCTTTCTATGACTTCAACTCAAGTACTGATGTTACGGAGACAATGCAGGTACAAAACATGAAAACGAATAAAGTTTCAGTCAAAAAATTTTGGTGGTGAGGGATGGAACCCTAATTTTGTGCGTTCAAAAACTAAACTAATAAGGTTTCTATTTTTATGTTGCAGATAGCAGCAGAGTTGGAGAGATTGAAGAGAGAAGCTGCAGGATATGGAGGGTTTGGTGCTAGTTTCCAATCAACATCTTCAAGTTGGTCCCCCTGAGACTTGAACTCTGGCTGATGTTACTGGATGCCAAACACATGAAGATGCTCTCTCTCCCATGTCCTACTCCTACAGTTCAGATGTTATGATTTTTGTCCCCACTTCATGTTATATATGTCTGGCACAAGTGGAAAATCAAAACTTGTAAAACCCTAATTTGTATGTTGGGAAATTTATTGAGATTAATACAAGGCACACGGTCAAAACTTTCTCCCTAATTGTTGTGGTTTTATTAACTATAATCAGTAATTATCATGGCTATTCCAATATTATAATTACTTAATTTAATTCAAGAGAGATTTAAACTCGAATATAAGAGATCGGACATACTGCCTTAATCAACTGATATAATTCATATATGCAAAACCGACTTTATGTAATATAGTAAAGTCATGACTCGTAACCATAAGGGGTGGATAAACACTAAGCTGTCAACTAAAAGGACACTGCTAAGGCAACGGCTGGATGATTAGTAAGTACATGTTCTCTTGTCTAATGTGCGAACAACATTGAACTGCCACCAACTTGTACATTTAAGATCATGGGAAATTTGAAAAATTTGGACATATATCTTTTATGTCGACTCAGATGCAACATGGACGTATTGGCATCGCCAAGTCTTTTAAGCTTTTAGTGCGTTGTCGTTTGTTTTATTGTCCACATTACATTGCTTGATTGGTTTCCATCTTAACATTTCAATGATAAATAAATTCTTTTCATTTTATGTCGACCGAATATTGGAACTTAGAAGTAACTAATTGGCAATAATGTATTGATTATGACCCATGAACCGAAGTGTCCCAAGCTTGAAATGACAACTGAAAGTAACCCATAGAGTTCATGAAATCTCATGGAGGTTGCCAATTCATGAGGTGAATGATTGGGGGGAGAGAGAGAGAGAGAGGGAGAGAGAGAAATGTGAAGTTTTTGTCTTCAAGTTTTGTTGTCGAAAGAGGAAAAGATAGGTGCAATGCATCCATGAAAACTTGGAGGGACAGCAAGAATGGGCCAGAACATGCCCTTAAGCGCATGAGGCAATGTGGGATCTCCAACTTCTGTAAAATGATAAGTGCTTATGAACCTCTCTCTCTCTCTCAAAAGCCACTTTCCAATTTGTTTTCTCCTCATATCCCACTCAAACTTTCTTCTTTTCTTTGACCCCTCTTTTGACCAAGTCTCTTGAAGCAATATGCAATATGCATGAACAAAGAGGAGGAAGAGGACTCAAGGGTCCCCCTCTAAAAGCAATGGAGAATGGATATGCCAAATATTCACAAATTGGATTGAGGAGATCACATATTAGGTGGAGTTGGGAAAGTACTAATAACTTAATATGGGCAAGTTCAAGGACCCTAGATTAGAAGCTTTTGAAGTGGAAGATGTTAGCTTGTCAAAAATCTCAAATCATTGTACCCACTAGATTATGGCAAAACTCAAAATAGCACAAAAAGGAAACCTAAAATGTGCATGCATCTCATTATATTAATATGCATAAACCTCAATGTAATCTGGTTCACCACGAACTATCTATGTAATTGTATGGTGTCTCGAGGTGATCTATGTCGTGGTACAAAAGTGTCAATCATACTCAAATGGTGGAGCTTGCATCAGTCTTAATTAGATTCAAGATATGCGTCCATAAGTAGCATATGATCCTGACACACATAGTTAAAATGTCATTTTAAAGTCCACAAAAGTAATTTGCATTGATGTTTTGGCCCCAAATTGTGAACATCACGCGCAACTTTTGAACGGAAACTAAACGAAACTACAATTTGCCCTAGAAAATACCTTGAGCTGTATATAAGTCATGATAATTAGTTCCTCTAGTGCACACATGGGCTTTAATTAAAACAGCCCATAATCAACCAAGGTGGGCTTTTGTTGTTCAGACAAGTGTGGGACTGGTTTACTTTTTCGGAACTTCATCACCGAAACAGTCGTATGAAGTTCCAGTGCTACTGCTAATTGCAAGTTTGCAACCACTGAAATGGCCCAAAGGCTATCATGATCTTGTCCTGGAGTGTGATGGGGGTATGGTTTTTTATGGACAATGTTTTGATGAGGGAATTCAGATGTTTGTTGAAATCATAGGTTGGGAATTCACATGTAAAACCTTCCTATATCTTGCTGGTAACCAGCTTACGTCAAAGTACTTCGTAATGGCCTTCAGTGTTGCTTGCCTCGCCTTGTATTTGTTCTCTAGTTCTTTTGATCACGGCTGCACATATGAGAAATGGGAAACTACTGCACTACCGGTTTATTTGATATGCTGGTGAAAGGAGGTGTGGAGAATGACGTTTTCGATAGTTGTTTGTTTCAAGCCTCTTGTGCTGGGAATACAGAGATTGTGTTGGTAGCTGCTAAGATTGGCTGTAAGCTTCTTGTTGAGTGGTTTGTAAAATAGGGTTGCACGAATGATGATTTCTGCCTTGCTCTGATGGCTGCAACTTCCAACAGCCAAGTTGCTGTTGCAGCTTATCGACTTCCTCAACTTCCTCATGATTTCCATGCAAACAAAAGCATTGGAATTCTCAAGGTTGCTGGTAAACATGGTGGTTTTAATTCTCTTCGCGGGGTTGGATTTCTTCTCCGTTCTGATTTCTTAGGTGACCCTTCCTGCAGCTACTTATGCTGTTGCAGAATAAATTGCTCGGTTGGATAACAACAACGATGCATGTCTGAAATGAGGGCTTTTTTTCAGGAACATTGGTTAGAGAAAGCTTTCTCCTACGGAATAAGATAAGGACAAGAACACTACATGAACATTGTGAGGATTTTAAAGTGGGGTGAATCTCCTGTCTCCTTGGATCTTCTAGCCCCTGAGCTGAGGGCAGCCATTGGTTGCCACTGTACAGAGAGTGTGTCCAGGCACAGGGCAGCCGTCTGGTGTCGCAAAGGTTGCGAGGGCGGCTTGTTGAAGCTGTGAGAAGGCTTGGTGGTGGAGTCTTAGATGGGGTGAGCCAGTGCAGAGAGCTCCTAGCTGTTTTGGAGCATCGTCTTCCTTAAAGATCACAGTACTGGTAAATTAAGGTGGTCGTTGGTCATGGCAGAAATCAATCCCACAACTTCTTGCCACTTCTCTCTCTCAGTCTGCATTTTGTTAAGCCCTTAATTACTGTTTCGATTAATTTCTAAATCTGATATATCCTTGGTGTTTGAGGAATTGTGTTCTGATCATATTAGCCTACTTACTTTTTTATCCGATCAATCCAAATAACAAGTGACCGTAATAATAACATCAAGAAACAAATCAATTTTTTTTAGTTTGGTCAAACTAAATTTCTTCCATCCATTACAAAAAGGCGAGTACAAGAAAAAAGGCAGCCCACTACCTAAATACAAGCCCAACAATGAATAAGAAAATACAGTAAATAGGCCCAAAAGTGGCCAACTGAACAATAACAAAAAGAAACCTAAGACTGGAAAGGAAACCAGCAGCCACCAGATATGCCTCCATCACAAAACCACCGCCACCGCCACCACCAAGAGAACGAACCAACGAAATAACTGGATCAACGAAAAGTGGGGGTGAATGAGCCACCCGTGTAGTGAGCGCCCCCCTAATCCTAACAAATAGTGCTAAAAGCACTTTGACAGCCACCCAACACCCTAGAGAAATACATGGGGCAAGTAGCAGAGGTTGATGGTTGAGGACGCGCGACGTAAAGTAACATCCGAGCGGGAGAGGGCCATGAAGGTCTAGTTTTGAGACCAGCTCATGGGAATTGAGAGAAAGTTTAAAGAACAAAGTTTAAGGGAAGCCAAAACAAAGACCAAAAGAGAAAAAGTTTAGAAATTAAAAAACTAATTGAGTCGGAGGATGCGGGAAGGATGAAGGAAATAAGGGGGAAAAGGGAAGATGTAGAGATTGGAGATGGACGGGAAAGAGGGAAAGAGGGAAAGAACGAAAGAAGGCTAGAAAAATGTGGGAAGGATGGGGGAAAGATGGAGAAAGATGGGAAAAGAGGAAGAAGCAGAGGGTGGAGAAGGAAGAGAAAGAGGGAAGGATGGCTAGAAAGAGGTGGAAGTCGGGTTGCCGTCGACTCCAAGCCGGAGCAAGGAGAGGCGTCTAGGAGGATTTCGTTTTTCTTGAAGGCAAAGTGAGGAAAGGTCTAAGAGAATTCCTCAATTCAATCTTACGCCCCCTTTAGCTTACATTCCTATTGCCCTAATTCATAAACACTTAAAAACTTGAATGGTCCTTTTGTTTTCTTTTTCTTGAATAGTATAGATCTTTCGGTCTGTAGTTTTCAGATATTCGGAATATATCTCATTGCGAAAATAAGACCTGATGACAAGGTAAATGGTTAAACTATTTGGGAAAGGATCCAGGGTCCTCTCTGGATCCCTTTCACCAAATTCACCAAGGCACACAATTCAAACCATAGAAATTTGATCCAATGACTATAAATTGAGGTCCACTTTAAAAGTTATAATAACTTTAACCCCACTGCACCTTAGCCCAGCGAATCAAACCCTGTTTGTACCGCTTTCTCAACGAACAAAAGGTCCGGAGGAGTAATTAAGACGACGATACCTCTCTTGTCACGGTTGCCGCGAATTCTGTACTTATCTAACAATCTCAGTTTCCCTTCGAATATAATACAATAAACCCCCTAACCACGACACATTTGATCCTCCACACCTTCATACGTAGCTCGGACCGATTCTTCGTTTGCTCAATTAACTTCGCAAATTGGTGAACTGGGTTCTTAGGTTTTGGTTCGGAGCGTGTAATCTGGGGTGGGTTTTGCGAAATGTTGCAGAAATCTGGAGAATTTCGTTCGCAAAAGCTGAGATTGCTGAGAAAGCGGCCGTCTTGAATGTGCATTTTGTGGTAAGTTGTGCTGTTTTTGGTTGGTAATAGTTGCTGGGTTTAGTTTGTTAGTGGAATTTGAGAATTGGGTTTGATTAATTTTTGTATTTTGTGAGTAATCTGGAATTGGTTCGTGGAAGGTTAACGAAATTTGTGATGTTGTTGGTGGAATTTGGTTTGTTGGATTTTCGGATTGCAAGTGATTTTTTGATCTGTTGGTTTTTGTGAACTTGCTGGTTTGGTGATTGTTTAAGTTTCTGAATTTTGCTATGAACTTATGAAAGCTGAAATCTTAATACATTGAAAGAGTGAACTTTATTGACTCATGTTATTGCTGAAATTTGCTTGTTGGGATTTCGAATAGCGTGTGATTTTGGTGTTGTGGTGGTTTATGTGAACCTGCTGGTGTGGTAATTCTTGTAGTTTCTGAATTTCGTTGTGAACTTATGATAAGTGAAATCATAATATACTGAAAGAGTAAACTTTACTTTTATAAAATGTCAATTTGATTGAATGTACGAGTAATGCTATTCATACCATGTTTTTGTACCACGTTTTCATACCACCTTAGGTGGCATTTGATGTAGACAACCACATCATTTGAATTAATCAGATTCTTAAATTTAGTTCATTATTTAATAAACTAATAATTAAGAAAAACCAGTTAATTAAATGATGATTGTGGTATACGAGGAGTCCTTCTCCTTCCTTTCCTTGGGTTTTGCAAATTTTTCAAATAATGTGACTGTCCATATCAGATGCCACCTAAGGTGGTAGAGAAATGTGGTATAAAAACATGGTATGAATAGCATTATGCAATATAAAGTGATGGGGTATTGAGTTTTTGATGAACATAAATTCCAGTGAGCAGCCTATATAGCGTGCCTTTGATCGATTTATGCTCTTTTAGGTTGAGAAGTGCAATATTGTGAAATCGGGATCCTCAGTTAAATTTAAGAACTGTGACATATACGGTAATTTGCTTCTTTACAGTTAAGATACACGTGAGGGCAAAAACTTGGTATGGCCGTGGCAAGCAAAACCAGAAATATGCTCGAGAATTTTGTAAGAGAAGGATCCTTCAAATGGTTGCTTGGAAATCGAAGCCATTATGATGAAGAATTGGAGGAGATGGAAAGATCTCCTTCGGCCCGGACAAATTGGGTACCAGAGCTATCTCCAATTGCAAACATAGTAGTCCGAAGATGTTCAAAGTAAGTTTTCAGCTATTCACCTAATACTCTGTCAACTGTTACATTATCACAGTAAAGGTGGATGAAACATGTACAACTTATGTTTTTGGCTTCATTGGAAATTATTCCTTGTTGTTGGGAACTTCATATGAATCACATACAAGTTTCGGGAAATGATTTTCTAATGATAACAAACAAATGATGCAGAATCCTTGGTGTTCCTACAACTGAGCTTCGTGAAGGCTTCAATTCTGAGGCTTCTGAATCTATAAAGCATCCGTCGTGTTATGCAAGGAACTTTTTGGAATACTGCTGTTTTCGAGCACTTGCTCTGTCCACTCAAGTAACAGGTCATCTGGGTGATAAAAAGTTTCGACGCCTGACATATGACATGATGATAGCTTGGGAGGCTCCAGCTGCTGCTAGCCAACCCTTACTAAATGTAAGTTTCATTTTTTCCTTAGAAGCTTATTTCTTATATTGTTGATATTCTTAGATACTCCTATCAGTACTCCATATACGCTATACAATCTCTTACATTCTTTTTTAATAGACAGGTTTTGACTATGTGTAAATAATAGCTTAGGGTTCAAGTGATTCTTAGCACTGTAGTGTTTTTTTAAGTGTCAACATGTCAATAAGGTCCTTGTCTTTTGTGCAGTTAGATGAGGATTTATCCGTTGGGGTAGAGGCTTTCTCTAGAATAGCTCCAGCAGTTCCTATTATTGCAAATGTGATTACCAGTGAAAATATTTTTAAGGTGCTTGCATCATCAAGCGATAGGAGACTTCAGTTCTTCACATACGACAAGTACCTAAGTGGACTAGAAAGGTACGCTCTCTCCCATAGGTTTGCTTTTTCTTCCTTCTCTCCCCTTCAAACTTGCATTTTCTTAAATTTCACTTTATGGATTTTCTGGAAGCATATTTCTTGTACCGGGTATCAGACACTCATTCAAGTCCTACGATTTTGAAATTTTTCTCATACAGAGCAATAAGAAAAATGAGGAGCCAATCAGAGTCGTCACTTCTTTCTGCCATGCGATCATCAAAAAGAGAGAAGATTCTGGAAGTGGATGGAACAGTCACTACCCAGCCAGTTCTTGAGCATGTAGGAATTTCTACATGGCCTGGTATGTTGATGGATAATGTATATTGTTAAACAATTCAAATATCTTTGTTGGCTAATATCACATCTTTGTTGGTTCTTATTATGGATTTACTACATGTGAGGATAATCAATGCCAAATTAACTGTGTTATAAGCAGGAAGGTTAATTCTGACAGACCATGCACTTTACTTCGAGGCCCTGCGTGTTGTATCTTATGACAAGGCGAAACAATATGATCTATCAGATGACTTAAAACAGGTTGTGAAACCCGAGTTGACTGGCCCCTGGGGTACTAGACTGTTTGACAAGGCAGTCTTTTATAAATCAGTTTCGTTGTAAGTTAAGCATTACCTTATTGTTGGTGCTCTTTTTCTTACTTATTAGTGTTTTAGTCTTTTTACTTGTTCAGCCATGTAGCTACCATGTAGCTATTAAAGATTGCCTTCTTCTTAGAACTTGATTATAAACTTTCAGTAGTGTTGTTTCTGTAGATCAGAACCAGCTATAATAGAGTTCCCAGAGCTGAAGGGGCATACACGTCGCGATTACTGGCTAGCAATCATACGGGAGATTTTATATGTTCATCGATTTATAAATAAATACCAGATCAAGGGGATTAAAAAGGATGAAGCACTTTCAAAGGCGGTGCTTGGAATTCTGCGACTACAAGCAATTAAAGAAATTAGCTCTCAAACTGATTTACGCTACGAGGGTCTTTTAATGTTCAATCTTTGTGATCAATTACCAGGTGGAGACTTGATACTTGAAACCATGGCAGATATGTCAACTTTTAAGGAATTCGATAGGTCTAGCAAATCTAAGCCCGGAGGTGGAATGTATTCGATCTCAGCCTTGGACATGATTTCTAACCTGGGATTTTCATTTGGAACAAGTTCTAGTAGTCCTGTTGAGGCTGGGCTTGCCGTGGGTGAGATAACTGTGGGAGAAGTTACTTTGCTTGAAAAAGCAGTTAAGGAATCTAAAAACAACTATGAAAAAGTGGCGCTAGCGCAAGCAACAGTAGATGGAGTCAAAGTGGAAGGAATCGATACAAATTTTGCGGTAATGAAGGTATTTGGTGATATTGTTTAAGTTTTAATTTGGCCTATATTCTCTAACCTAGCATATGAGTCACTCGATTTTCTAGAAAAATCGTCTAAATTTGTTGAGCACTTTCAGGAGTTACTCTTTCCAATGATGGAACTATGGACGTGCCTTCTTTCTTTGGCATTGTGGGAGGATCCGTTGAAGTCTTTGCTTTTCTGTTGTGTTTTCACTTACATCATTTGCAGGTAAACTGCCAGTTGAAATTTCATTTCTTTCTTTACTCATTAATCTTTAATTTGGATTTACGCATGAGGGGGAGTGGGAAAAAGGGATGAATAATTAAGAAGTATGATTATGATTTATCCCACATGAAAACATAGTCAAACTTTGATGTTCGCTTAATGTAACATGGTTTTTGGTGACAGTAACAATCCCTCGAAATGAAAATGCGTAGATTTTAAATTTCTTGAAAACTCTTTGAATGAGAAAGTGGGTGTAGCTACAGAAGAAATCGAGTTCAATGGGAATTATTATGGTCTTGGATCTTGATACTCTAGAGTTTCTTTCCACACCACACCAGTAGGATTTTTGTCTAGACTCACACAGGCAGCACTTTTCAGGGGATGGCTGAGCTATGCCTTTGCACTGACGCTCATCTTTATTGCGGTCTTCATGGTCCTCACTCGATATTTTAGCGAAGGAAAGTCCACTCACGAGGTTAAGGTGTTAGCCCCTCCAGCGATGAATACGATGGAGCAGCTTTTGGCTGTTCAGAACGCAATATCTCAAGCTGAAGGGATCATCCAGGATGGGAACGTTGTTCTTCTCAAGCTACGTGCCTTGTTGCTGTCCCTTTTTCCTCAGGTTCCGCTCTCTTATTCCTTGATCGTTCCCCCACCTTTCGTCTTCAGTTAATTTATATACTTTAAGCACATTGACCATGGATAACGATTCTGTGTAATGATGATCAGGCGAGTGAAAGATTTGCGATAGCCCTTGTAGTTATGGCTTCGGCTCTGGCATTTCTGCCCGTTAAATATATTGTTCTATATATCTTTTTGGAGACGTTTACATGTTATTCGCCGGTGAGGAGATCTAGCACAGAGAGATGGACGAGAAGATTGCGAGAGTGGTGGTTCAGCATACCCGCAGCGCCCGTTATTCTTGAAAGAGAAAAAGAAGAGAAGAAGAAGAAATGATGTTGTAACTATTTGTGAAATGTGTTAGTTTGTTCAGGTAAAGTTAGTGTGAGTGTGTAAATCTTAACAAGGAAGTCGAATGAACTCCTAAATCAGTATGAAATTTAAGAAAAAAAAGGAAGAATATAAATACAAAGGTTTGTTTGTCCAGTTTATTCCTAATTTTATGATCTGCTGCTTCTCCGCCGCAGTCCGCCGGGATAAATCATAGGGCTGCTTATGCAATCTGCAACTGTTCAAATGATCTAACAGAGACGGCCTGCGTCCTGCTGCCATTTTTGAATTTATCACAGTACATCAGTTTTCTTTTTTTTCCGAAAGAGGGTGCATAAAGGGAATCACATCGTTAACCTTATCTAAATTACGAGGAACAAAATTTAAATTAAGATTCATAAAGTAGCACATCTGTTGTAGTCAATGTGCGGTGTTTGGGTCTGCATTATCCTTTTTTCCTCTTTCATCCATTCATTTCGATTGACTAAATTGTAGCAATGGTCTTTTAACTTTAACTCAATTAGAGCAATGATCCCTTAATTAAAAATTCATTATCATTGGTCCATTAACTCATCAAAGTGTGCAGCTAAGCTATGACCCCTCAACTAAAAATTCATTATCATTGGTCCTTCAACTTTAATTCAATTGGAGAAATGATCCTTCAACTTTAACCCAATTGTAGTAATGGTCCCTCAACTTTAACCCAATTATAGCAATGGTCCTTCCAACATAACTCATTTTGACAAAATTCTCACGAAGCTGACGAAAATGACCATAGTGACACGTTTTGATGAGTTGAGGGATTCCAATTGTAACAATGGTCATTCCAACATAATTTATTTTGACAAAATTCTAACAAAGTTGACGAAAATGATCATAGCTACACATTTTGATGAGTTAAGAGACCAATGGTAATTGATTTTTAGTTGAGGGACCATTGCTTCAATTTGATTAAAGTTGAGGGATCATTGCTACGATTTACTCATTTCGATTTGATAAACAACAATTAAGTATGATGTAATCCGAACAAACAGAAATTCAAATTTCTTCCGAAACATTGAATGACAAAAAGAATTTGAATAAAAAAATGTTCTACCCCAGAAAATTCGAACTTTTATTGGCAGCTTGCAGGCATCCCCATTAAACCCAACAAAAAATCGATCAAAAGCAAAAACCAAGAAATAATCAAATATTAATTCTAACAAACAAGGGTGAATCCTTCCCTTCAATTTAGTCACGTCGGCAGGGACATTCCATCACAAAGTAGTATTCCTCCTCCTTTTCCTCCGCCGCATGACCATGAATCATGATCATCATATTGTTGTGAAGAGGTGGTCGATGGAATTGGAGCACAAGAAATCGGCAGCTTTCGGCGTCAAAACCGGAATGTTTCCGATGTAAGGATTGGGCGGCATGAAGCAGGAACTCACCTGACCATCCCCTCCTCCTCCTACACCTACGACACTCCCTACTCCTACATTATTATTGTTATTGTTGTTGTTAATATCGTTACTATTAATGTTTGTGCTGCTACAATTCTCCTCCGTCGTAATAACCGACGAGGAATCGTTGTCCTCGTTCCTCATCATAACCTTTCCGGCGACCCTATTATTATTCATGATCTCCTCCTCCAACAAACCCTCCACATTATTAACCTCTCGTTTCTTCGAAGGAGGCGGCCGCTGCCGACGAGGCTCTCGCGCATCGTCCTCAAAGCGCGAGCGCCCCGTGAGCTTCTGCACCAACGCCATGAAATCCCTCGGGTGCGTGTGGATGATCTTGGGCGAATGCGTGTAGATAATCACCGGGTGGCGCTGTTGTTGGGGCGGTTTCACCCCAGCCATAGCGATCACAAGGGAAGACGTGGATGATAACGCTGACGATGACGGCGAGCCCGACAACGAGGAGGGCGAGGACTTTTTGATGGAGTGGGAGTCCTTGTTGATCTTCAAGGGCGGAGGGTAAAACAACGTCCGATCATTGTCGTTGTAGGCGATCACGTCCCTTTTGTTTGCGTTTGCATGTGGGCTCATCGTAAATATTGGCACTTGTGGGGACACGTTTGTTGGAGCGCTGGGAAGCGCGCAAGGGCCTCTCAAAAGTACAAGAAGTTGGATGAAGGGGAAATATATATAGAGGTGGAAATGTGATAAGTTTTGCTCCTATTTGCATGGGATTGGTTGAGAAAAATTTAGAGGGTATTAAATGTACATTTTTTCCTCGGTACCTACATGCACTGATAACCGTTGAATTTGATCTAACGACTTAAAAAGTATCAGCGCTCTCGGTGCATGTAGATAACAAAGGAAAATCGATCACTCATTTGGAATTCGAAGGTACGTACACAATGAAAGTATGGTGAAAAATTGTGATGTGCTAGGATGATTGATTGAGTGCAGGCGGCAACGTGAGTTTCCTGTTGAATAACGACATTAAGAACTTTAGAGTGCATTCCAACCTTTTTATCTAAAAGATGGTTAATAAGATTGGTATAACTTCTCACTTTAGTTTTTAAGACTAACATAACTCTTAACTTGTTCCTAATATTAGCATAACTCCTCACTTTAGTCTCTGAAATAGAAGTCGTTCATAAGATTGTCCACCGTCAATTATTTTGGTCATTTTGTGAGAAATCAAATATTCTATAACATATTACTTGTATCTTCTATTTATATTATAATATATTCTATCTTTATATATTATACATATATAAAATAACTCGTAAAAGTATGATTGTCGTGCAATAAAAGTCTAATACATGTTGTCGCAGCCCCCTTAATTAGTTAAAGAATAATTTTGGAATGGATAAAATACCTTATCCCATCAATTTTCCTAGCAACTCCTATAGATTGAAAAGAAAATTGATTTCCAAAGCTCTATGGCTAATAGAAATGATTTTCCGTACACCTAACCATTGACTTTGTTTTTATGTTCAATGTTTGACTTGGTTGCTAATTACTTTAATAAGATTCTAGTATGCAAATATCGGCTGCTACTTCCTTGATTTCATGTTACATGACATTTGTTAAAGTTAGTTGTTTACGCATTGTATGTTTCGTTATAATTAAAAAAATGAACCAGATTAACGAGTGAGTGATGCGAGAAAAAGAAGAAAGCATTAATAAATAGCTGTGATTTAGCATTAATTTGATGGTGTCGTTCTATTCATGTGATTTAGCAAGTTTAAGTGTAGAAGGAATATGCATAGAATGCGAAAGCTCGAATGCCAAGTTGTGGTCCATAAAGCTCTCTATATTTTAGCTCATGTATGGTCCCTAGGAATATGGCATGATTAATACATCTGTGATCCACTAACCAACAAACTTAATTTGGTCTCCTCCTTTTCTTTAAGATTTCATGATATTTTTCCTCTACATTTCGTTGATATATAGTCCACGTGCTTCCTCGTCGATCTAATTTGTATTGTTTATGCATTAGATTTAAACAATTTCATATGTGAGCTCTTAAAAAAATGCGTTGAGACCTGAGAGTGTGAATTTTACATCAAAAAATTGAGAAATATTGCAAGAACCGGACTTCTAAGGAGTTGGGTTCCTTTGCCAAGTAATTTTAGGATAAAACGTCAATTGTCTTTGTTAGTATGGACTATGCATCGAGGACTATAGTCCTTATTGCCAAATCCATTTACTTGATGTTTTTGTAATGATTTTCCGAAATACTCTATTTCTTCAATTGAATTCAATGTGGGCCACTTAACACTATAGTCTAGTGATATTTATTTTCACTTGTAAATGAGAGGTCTTAGGTTCAATTATCGCCAAAAGCGAATTTGAACCTCATTATCGCTAGCCTATTGTAAGGCTAAGCCCACATTTCTCGCTTATAGTGTATATAATATTGTTTGTTAAAACAACTAGTATACTTTTAGCAGTGATTATTTTAGTGTGTTTAAGTGCCCAAAGTGTTTAAGTGCTTTGGGCCTGGTTAATACACACCACATGATGATATTGAATAACATTGAAGATAACAGTTAAAGCAATTTAGATATAGCTTCATCCTTCAATCATACAAAGAAAATATGGTGTGTAGGCGATAGCTTGTCTATTTCTCTTGCACCAACAACCACCGTCCATTTCATCATCAAATTCAATAAGATCGACCCCTTTTATGATTCCTGATACGTCGACATTGTCGAGGTCCATTTGACATCTACTGGACATAAAAAAAACTTCGAACCATATTATTTCCTCCTTAATTTGTTTTCTTTGGGTGGTGCTGTTAGTTTTCTATAATCTGCACACTAAATGTATGTCTTGAGAAGCCATTGAATCGAAGCGAAAATGAAGAATCACGAACGGCAGCAACATCTTCTGCTCTCTACACCCTTGTGCAATTCTATATGGGGCAGGATTGTGTCCTAGAATATTGTGTGTAAGAGTGGGGATCTAAGCCTTATATTTATCGGCAAGAGTATTAGGTTTCTTGCTATAAAGAAAACCCTCATACATATTTTTAACATCTCCATAATTCATGACTTAATAAGATAGATATTCCCAATAATTGTCGTTTTACTTACTATCAAGTACTTTTGGATAATCAAATATTACTTCCTCTCTTATATTCTTAATCAATTAGGACTCTTAAATTGATGTAGGCCTAATAAAAGTCTTACAGCCTATTTGTACTTTTCACACATTCCTGGTTAATTTGTATTAATTGATTTTTTTTTTTTGTTTTTCAGTTCATTCGATCATATGACTCAAAATTGAAAGACTTATGTGATAAATTAAAAAATGCAAGTCTTCAATATTCTAAATTACTCGATAGTTGACTTTATATCCTTTAAATTGACAATCGTGTAATCAAATGAGACCAAGGTTTGTGTTGGTCAATGGGTTACACAAAAAACAGATTCCAATGCTCCTTGGTCCTATACTATGAGTTCGAAATAAACCTTAGTAAAGTAAAAGTTGAGAGACATGTGTGTCTTAAATGTAAAGACACACCAAATCTAGATCCAAGTATTCAGACTGTACGGATTAAACTAATTCCCATAAGTAGATGCGTAATACCCCACGTCGGAATGTCAATAAATTGTCTTGTTTATTGGTATATAAAATAGTCCGTCAGAGCTAATTCTGTATAATAAACAAGCTAATGTAATGTAAATGTCATAAAAAAAAAAATTTATAGTAAGTTCGTGATATATCAACTATGTGATTTAATCACAATAAGGAATGATGATCACATTGAATTTTTTTTTGGTCTTTCTCATGTGGTGTTCGACATAATCAGTTGAAACGTTCTCATGCCCTTTTGTGATATTTTGATTCGTGCAACATACATAATTTAACGTTTGTCCCTTTAACCGGGGCATTGTGATAGTCCCGGAAAACAAATTTATCTAACCACTTATACCATAAGAAAAATAATTTATACCATGTGATAGTGGTGTAGAAAAGTTTAACGAAAAATGTTGTAAGTCTAAAATATTCTGAATTACTTGGTAATCTGACTTTATATCAATTAAAATGACATATGGTGTGCAAAAGCGAAAGAGGATCCTCGCCGGATCATCTTTGTGATGATCTCGGAGATCCTCCAATCATATTCATTTATCGTACATCGTGTTGCCAGTTTTTTTTCAGGTACTATTTATATTCAATTTTAAATAAAAAAAATTTACAATGATTTTTGACCGCACAATGTATGATGAACATAGGTGATTGCAGGATCCCTAGGATCCTCAAAAAGAGGATGAGGATCCTCCTGGTTCAAAGACCAATAGGTAATTAGTACTGGTTTGGTACTGATGTATTTTTATAAAATGTGGGTATAAAAAAGCTGAGCTCAAAAAATTAAAAACGTGAAGCAACAAAAATGAACTTACTCTCACAGTACATTAGAAGCAATTTTTTATTTTTTTTAAAGCACAGTACTACCAAACCAGTGTACTGGTCGAGCTCCAACGTTGAATAGCCAGCGGCCAACGAGTTCTGACATCACATACGCCCACAGCCGATCCTCAGCCGATCCTCAGCCGTCGGATGGATTCCACCGAACACACGATTCCTCCACCATCATCAGAGGACAAATACTAAAAAAGGGTTTACGTGGGGTTCACATAGATAAGTGCTTAAACGGGGACCAGAAGCACTTTTCATAGTAGTTAACGAATTCTGGAAAGAATAAAAAAATAGGTCATTTTCATTTTCTCTTCCCCGTCTCTCTCGCTTGACTTCTCCTCTCTCCTGTTTCTCTCTCTACAAAAGTGGAAAGCCGGAGCAGCCAACTGCTTCTGATTTCTCTCCCAGATTCTTTCACCATCTAAAAGCTTCTTCAACTGGCTCGTTCGAAAAAAAAAAAAAAAATGCCTCTTCTACTGGCAAAGTATCTCATAAATATTTCTCAATTCTCCCTACAACACCTCACACCTAAAAACTGAGAATTTGTTTTTTGTTTCTGGGTTTTTATTTGTTCCTCAATAAAGCATGAAACTTTGGAGATTCTAGTCAATATAATTAACCATATATATATTTGTATATATTTAGGGGAAAAGTGAAGTGTGAAAGTTGGTTTACTTAGATGCCTGCTCAGATGAATAGAAGGAAGGGGAGAAGGTTGAGCCTTGAGGATGCAGTGGAGTTCTTCAACCATGTGATGGCAGAGAAGCCTTTTCTTCCATTTTTGTTACCTCTGGTTTTGTTTGTCTGGGCTTTTGAGAGATGGGTTTTCTCCTTCTCCAATTGGGTTCCACTTGCTGTTGCTGTTTGGGCAACCCTACAGGTAAAAATTGCTTCTTTTTGTAATCGTGTTATGTATTTCTCGATTTTTCGATTCGAGAGCGATATTCTACGCTAAATTAATCTAAACTTCGGAGAGCGGAATTCTAACTGCGGATTTTGGATGATCTATATTTGTAGGTTACGTTAGTGTTTTTTTTTTTTTTTTTTTTGAATACATAGATATTTTTACACTAAGGGGAGGGTGTTCGGCTAAAGCCGAATAATGGTCAACTTAATTTGGTATTGAATTTGCCATCCACGATATTCGAACCTACGACCTCTCACTTCCAAGGGAAGATGAATACTATCGGACCGTAGTACTGAGTGGCAGGTTACATTAGTGTTAAGTGGAAGAAGAATTTACTGGTCAATTGTTCAGAATATGGTGTTTAATATAATCTTCGGTTTTCGTTTGTTCATTGGTTGTGATTATCTACTGACTTAGCAACTGTTCCTGTTGTGTTGCATTTCATAATCTTTAAGGATCACAACGATCGAAATCATACTAGGATGTAACATAAGTTGTCACTAATTCTGTCTGCAGTACGGGAACTATCAGCGTCGGATACTTGTTGAAGACCTGAACAAGCAATGGAAGAGAGTCATATTGAACAACTCGGTACCATATTTGTTCCAGAATTTTCCTTGACTTGTATGACATTTGAGCTTTATTGATGCTGAATTTTAGCTTTGTGGTTGTTTATATAGTCTACGACTCCACTGGAGCACTGCGAATGGCTGAATAAGCTGATGACGGAAGTATGGCCCAACTATATGAACCCGAAGCTCTCAATAAGGTTTTCGTCCATTGTTGAGGTGAGAATGTGTCCTTGTGTATCAGCCGGTTATATTAGTTTTTCTGTACGAGGTTAACAAGTTAAGTCTTCCACTTGCATTCTGTGACCATGTCATCCTTGGCCATCCAGTGGCTTTCTCATATTGCAAGAAAAATCATCTTAAAATTTCAGATACTCGTTGATTGTCGATTTTCCTAAATTACTTTTGAATCCACTAACTGAATGCTTATAATGCTGAAAGAAGTTCCGGTGATTATCATTGCCATTTTCTGATTTCGGTAGGATGTCTCGGTCTGTCCGTTAAACATTCACGAACACAAGTTTTGTTAATGGATCATGCTAACTTGTGTAAGTTTTGTTTATGCAGAAACGGTTGAAGCACAGAAAATCAAGGCTTATAGTAAGTGATCTACGCCTTTTGTTTGTTCATAACAATTTGAACCCTTGAATTCATCCTGACTGTATTGAATATCTGATAAGTAATTAAAAAGTAACTGTTTTTTATGCAGGAAAAAGTTGAATTGCTGGAGTTTTCACTAGGTTCATCCCCGCCTAGCTTGGGTCTTCATGGGACTCGTTGGTCAACTTCAGGTGATCAGGTTTGGTTTCTATATATTTTACTGTTTTCAAACTTTATTACGATTCTTTTGTAGTGTTATCTTAAAGTATATTGTTTTACTTTTTCTCGATGGCTCATTTGTATGACTACTAAATTCCTGACATCTTCGTATACATGGTCTCTGTTCATTTTGGCAGCGGATCATGCATTTAGGTTTTGACTGGGATACAAATGATATGAGTATTTTGTTGCAAGCAAAGCTTGCCAAGCCACTTATGGGGACGGCACGGATAGTTATAAATAGTCTCCACATCAAGGGCGATGTATGTAAAGTCGCTTCCTTTTCCATTTTTCTCATACGGTTCAGCTTTGAAAGGATTCTATCAAAAGAAATTAGAAGCTGTGCAATTATCATTTTTTGGTAGCTATATTCACTAAATTGCCTCTTTATTGCAGCTTCTCCTGATGCCGGTCTTGAATGGGAAAGCGATTTTGTACTCATTTCTGTCAGTTCCTGAAGTGAGGATAGGAGTTGCCTTTGGAAGTGGCGGAAGCCAAGCACTGCCTGCTACAGAGCTTCCCGGCGTTTCTTCTTGGCTGGTTTGACTCCCAACCCTGAAAGTTATTTTGTACTGCATTATGTTTTGCCGACTTAATTCTTGACCAGGACCATTTTAATCGTACATTTCTCTCTAAAATACAGTAGTATGTTCATAAATTAGTGTTGCTGTAAACAAACATACGGCCATACATCTAGCTACATTCCAAGCAAAGCTTGATAATTTGATAAATAATAAATATTGATTTCTCTATAGGTTAAAATTTTGACCGACACGCTAGTTAAGACAATGGTTGAGCCTCGCCGCCGTTGTTACACTATGCCAGCTGTGAACCTAAGGAAAAAGGCTGTTGGAGGCATTATATACGTGACAGTCATTTCTGCAAGTAAGGTTTCTAGGAATGGTTTGAAAGGAAGCCCGTCCAGAAAGCAGTTTGATAGAAGTTCAGATGAGCAGTTTGTCGATAAAGATCTACAGACATTTGTGGAGGTTGAACTTGAAGAGTTAACTAGAAAAACAGGTGTGAAGTTGGGTTCAAACCCTAGCTGGAATTCGAAGTTTAATATGGTGTTACACGACGAAACAGGAAATCTTCGATTTAATCTTTACGAGTGTACGCCAAACAATGTGAAGTATGACTATCTGGCGAGTTGTGAAATTAAGGTACTATTTTTACGTTGCAAAATTTAATCTTTTGACAGATAGTCATGATCACCATATGATACAGAGTTTTTATTTTCTTCTTTGTTTCCGACCAGAAACACATGATAATATATATTCTCTGCACATAAGTTATCATCAACTTGTTGAGTGTCAACTAAGTTGAACTTTTCTTCCCTTGAATAGGTGAAGTATGTTGAGGATGATTCAACGATATTCTGGGCAATAGGACCCGACTCTGGAGTGATAGCAAAACAAGCTGAGTTTTGTGGAAAAGAAGTTGAATTCGTTGTTCCATTTGAGGGGGTCAATTCGGGGGAGGTAACAGATTTTAAGGTTTATGACTGATTTATGTATCCCTTATTTTTATTTAATTTTAACATATGTTTTTTCTCAATGCATCATGTAGTTGACGGTGAAGCTTGTCCTAAAAGAATGGCAATTCTCCGATGGTTCACACGTAGACAACTCTCTTCTTACCTCACGAAGATCACTTTTTGGGTCATCAAATTTTCTACCAAAAACTGGAAGGAAAGTTAACATAACTGTTCTGGAAGGAAAAGATCTTGTTTCAAAAGACAGATCTGGAAAGTGCGATCCATATGTTAAATTGCAATATGGAAAGGTAGATTTTTTTTTTTCCCTCCCTTGATGATTTCCTCTCATGTGTAAATTAAAGTCTATATTGCAGAAACTAACATTATAAACACCCTATATTGCCGTAACCTTCTTTCCAGATTCTCCAGAGAACAAGGACTGCTCATGATTTAAATCCCGTCTGGAATCAGAAGTTTGAATTTGATGAGATTGGAGAAGGTGAATACCTGATGATAAAATGCTTCAACGAAGACACATTTGGTGATGACAACATTGGCAGCGCACGAGTTAATTTAGAGGGACTGGTCGAAGGGTCAGTCAGGGATGTGTGGATCCCTCTAGAAAAAGTGAATTCCGGAGAACTAAGGCTTCAAATAGAATCAGTCAGAGTTGAAGGCTCTGATGGGTCAAGGGTATGGAATCTTTTTTCAGTCTGTTTGGTCATATGCGCGGGAATCATTCTGCTCTCAGTGTGTGTTGTTTAATATGGTTTTGTAACTTTGTTCCTCCTTTCCCCTTGTTGGAATATTCAGGGTTCGGCCACGGGTTCAAGTAATGGTTGGGTTGAACTTGTTCTCATAGAAGCAAAAGACCTTATTGCTGCTGATATGAGAGGGACAAGTGATCCATATGTGAGGGTTGAATACGGGAACTTGAAGAAACAAACAAAGGTTTGAGCAGTCACATTTATGTTCAAATATTGTACAAATTGTCATTTTTTTCCTTATTACTTTGCTTTTGATCTCTTATTACTTTGATGTCTTGCGTTGCAGGTTATGTACAAAACTCTGAATCCGCAGTGGAATCAAACCTTGGAATTTCCTGATGACGGCAGCCCCCTACTCTTGCATGTGAAAGACCACAATGCCTTATTACGGGCATCGAGTATAGGTGATTGCGTCGTGGAATATCAGAGATTGCCTCCGAATCAGATGGCAGACAAGTGGATCCCTCTTCAGAATGTGAGTAGGGGGGAAATCCATGTTCAGGTCACACGAAGAGTCCCGGAGTTGGAGAAAAGAGCAAGTTTGGATTCTGAACCATCCATAAACAAAGCACACAAAATTTCCAGTGAGGTGAGAAGACTCGTTTTTCGTTACTAGTTTTTCGCCTTGGGCCACATTGTTAGCATTGTACCTAGGAACAATGTTTTGAACGAGTTCAGTTCCTTTCTGACATGCAATTTACAATGAGTTTGGTCAGATGAAACAAATGATGATGAAGTTTCAGTCTCTAATCGACGATGGAAATATTGAAGGGCTCGCAACGGCTATGTGTGAGCTAGAAGCCCTAGAGGATACACAAGAAGAGTACATGGTTCAACTGGAGACCGAGCAAGGTCTACTTCTTAACAAGATAAAGGAGCTTGGTCAGGAAATCCTGAACTCATCTCCTTCCATCAGCAGTAGATTTTCCGGAACCTGAGCCGTTTGTTTTCGGTTTTGAGTTTTGTTGACATGGTTATATCTTCCGGTGTGTAAGTAATTTCAGTTAATTAACAGGAGTGCGTTTACAGATAAGAGTATGTACATGGAGTTCTAACAGTTCACGTCCATCTTCATGCTGTGTAATTGTGTAAGCTCCTTGATGCTTGACCAATTTTTCTGCAGCACTTCAAGTCAAATGTTCAAGTTTTTAGCTTTGACTTTCATGTATTACATTTACATTACAAATTTACACTTGTACCAAGAGAGATAAACGCATCTTTTATATTTAAGTTTTAATTTTATAGTTTGTGTTCTTTTCTGAATTTTCATCTCTAGATGAATCGAAGGATCCTTCGGCTGGAATTCGTTTACTTGAATGCAACCAGATCCGTATTGAATATTTGACCACGCACATCGTACCTTGTTAAAAAAAGAAAAAAAAAAGGGATCTCACATTTGCGAAGTGCGAAGAATAACAGTTTTCTTAATTGCTGAAATCAATCAAGAAATAGGGGCTTCTATTATGCACATCAATGCTTCATGAATAGCTCATATCGATTATTTAAATTTAGGTCATCTCCAACCGAAGGAGGGTCAAAGGGCTCCCTTTAGTTTTATAGGCTATAGCCCTATAAGAAATTATATTTTAATATAACCATATTTTATACCATCTTCAACTGAGGGGGCCATATGCCAAACATAGCCAATTGACAAAAAATCATCTCTAACCGAAGGGGCCAAAGGGACATAATTTATTATTTTAATTAAATTAATATGGTTAATTAAATTAAACTATCATATTAAAATAAGATTTTTGGATATATTTTGAGTGCCACTTGTCGCCAAATGAATAAGCCTTTGGATTTCTTATCTTTATATAATATCAATAATTTTTTTGAATAGGATTTTAAGTGACATGTGTCGCTGACATGAGTAACATTCTAGATTTCTTATTTTATGTAATCTTAATAATTTTTCGGATAGGAAATGGTCAGCCCGCTAGCCTAATTTGAAAGTTTGGGTTCGATGGGTCCTACAAGCCTTTTGTCCTAGCCCTCGGTTAGAGACGATTTTCGTTTCATTCCGAACTATTTTTAGCTTTATAACCCTTTAACCGGATCGGTTGAAAATAACGTTAAGTTCAATGATATGTGTAATCCGATTGTTAAATTCAGCAAGTTATGTCATCTATTGATACGCTCGATAATTTCCGTACTAGTGCAAGAATGAGAGCTCTCCGCCCACAAAATTACAGACCTGCCCTCGATAATATTCCATATGTACACAAGAAACAGATATACCCGAAATTTTCCCAGAAAAATTATCTTATCGTCTCCCTCCAAAACTACAAACACAGTCTTCGTCTCCAGCCTCCCGTCGCTCCACCGCTTTCCGAGTTCCGACCAGCCAGACAATGACAGCGCACCGCCGTCAACAGCGACAGTAAGCGCACTATTTAATTCAATATTCACCACAAATGGCCTTCACAACCGCGAAAATATCCGAAATGCCACTCATGAACTCACTCCCAACCACCTCTCACTCGCCCTCCTCCCTCAGACTCCTGTTCTCGGCCCCAAAACCGTCATTTCGCCTCGTCAAAACATTCTCCTTCACCGTCGGAACCACCGAGCACGGTGGAAGTGCGAACGCCAAACCCCCGCAGCACAAATCCAGACCCGCCTCCTCCGCTCCCTGGCTCAACAAGTGGCCCAATCGTAGCTCTCCCGCCGAATTGTCCCGCCAGAAAGTCAACGATAAGGTCAAGGAGTCGCATGAGCAAGATGGCAAGGCGGATACGACTCGGTACTTCGACAAGGATAAAGGCCAGAGCGCGATCGAGAGAATCGTGCTTCGGTTGCGGAACTTGGGGTTGGGGTCGGACGATGAGGAGGAAGATGATGGTATTGGATTGGACGGTCAGGATCCAGTGCCGGCGGCAAGCGGAGAGGAGAAGCTCGGGGATTTGTTGCAGCGGGAGTGGGTCCGGCCGGATTATGTATTAGAGGAGGAGAAGAGCGGTGATGAGGTGGCATTGCCGTGGGAGAAAGAGGAGGAGGTGAGTGACAAGGAGGAGGTGAAGGGATTGAGGAAGAGGAGAGGGAAAGCACCGTCGTTGGCGGAATTGACGATTGAGGACGAGGAACTGAAGCGGCTGAGGAGAATGGGGATGGTGCTTAGGGAAAGGATCAGTGTGCCAAAGGCCGGGATCACGCAGGCGGTGCTAGAGAAGATTCACGATACCTGGAGGAAGACGGAGCTGGTGAGGCTCAAGTTCCATGAGGTGCTGGCATTGGATATGAAGACAGCCCACGAGATTGTTGAGGTTTGTGAAGTTCTCGAATTTTCTGATTTTGGTGTTATATGATCAATATTACATTTGTATATAAGTGTGTTGAGTATAAATTATAACCACTGTTCTAAAAATTCCACCTAGCCCAAGCTAGGCGGCTGACCACCGTCCTGATTAATGCCTAGACGTTTGAAAAAGTAAGAAATGGTGCCTAGACCGTCTAGCACCCGACTAGCCCGTCCAGATTCGCCTATGTTCCGACTCACTTAGACATAAAATAGATAACTTTTATTTTGCATTTTATTTTTTTTAATAAATTGTAAGAGACTTGTCGTATACTTAAATAAACATACTTGTTCCTATGTTTTCATTATGTTCCAATACTTTATAATATATATGTCATTATATTTTCTAGTTTATGATGAAATTATAAATATTTTAAGTATGAACAGGCATTTATTTACACGAAATATAATAGATTTACTTAAATCCGCATAGTCCGCCTAGGCCCCGGCCCGCTGCACGATTAGTGGCTAGCGTCTTTTAGAACCTTGATTATAACATTTGGTGAATGCAACTTAGAATTGTATGTCTATAGTTTAGAAATGAACATGCAGAAGCATTTTACTTTCGTAATGTAACTGACTGCTTGTAGTGATTGGTCAGCGTCGAACAGGAGGGTTAGTTTTATGGCGGTCAGGAAGTGTCATGGTTGTGTACCGAGGGAGTAATTACAAAGGACCTTCTCAATTCCAAACTGTTGATGGGGAAAGGAGTGGTCTTTTTATCCCAGAGATATCGTCATCTGAAACATTGGAGATGAGAAGTGGCAATGAAGCAACTTCAGGTCCAGATAACACTGAGCAAGCATTGAAAATCCCAGAGCGTGATCATAACATGACAGAGGAGGAAGCTGAGTTTCACAGCCTCTTGGATGATTTAGGTCCTCGTTTTGTTGAGTGGTGGGGTACTGGAGTACTTCCTGTTGATGCTGATTTGCTTCCCAAAACAATCCCTGGTTACAAAACTCCTTTCAGGCTTCTCCCTACTGGGATGCGGTCGCGGCTGACTAATGCAGAGATGACTACTTTACGGAAACTTGCCAAATCGCTTCCTTGTCATTTTGCCCTTGGTAGAAATCTTCTTCTATGTACCTTTCTTCAGTTTTCCGTGTCAGTATTTGACGTAACACTTCATTATTAATTTCTTGATGAAGGGAGAAATAGAAACCATCAAGGGTTGGCATTGGCTATTATTAAACTTTGGGAGAAAAGCTCTGTTGCGAAGATTGCTGTCAAACGAGGTATCCAGAATACAAACAACAAGTTGATGGCTGAGGAGATAAAGGTCTGTCCTACATTGTCTCTTATCCTACATTACCATCAAACCTTGTATTTTTTGTGTGACTGTTTACCTTTCGTTCGTGTCCGTTAGGGCACTTCTAGTTCTTCCTGCTAAAACTTTCTCAAGCTTAGTCTGCATTATTATTTTTTTTAAAGGCCAAAACGAGAAACACCATCCTCCTAATTAAGGAACCTGTGTAAATCTGTTAATACTTGTTAATGAGTTTGCCGTTATGCGCCTCTGCCTTGCATTTTCTACCAAATCTAAGGTTGAAGAGGCACTCAGCATATTTGGTTTTCTCTTTTCGTCAAATAGTTTTGAGGTTTGTTTTTGTAATCTTTTTTCTGATTGTTACCTATGGAATAATACCAGAAGTGTACTGATTTAAAGCTCCTTCAATTTTGCAGAATTTAACAGGTGGTGTTTTACTGCTCAGAAACAAATATTATATTGTCATTTACCGTGGGAAAGATTTTGTCCCAACAAGTGTCGCTGCTGCTCTGTCTGAAAGACAGGAACTGACGAAACAGGTCCAAGATGTTGAAGAGAAAATGCGGATTAAAGCAATAGATGCGGCTTCTTCAGGTGCAGTGGAAGGACAGGCACTTGCAGGGACTTTGGCTGAGTTTTATGAGGCTCAAGCTCGTTGGGGAAGAGAAATATCTGCTGAAGAACGGGAAAAGATGATTGAAGAAGATTCAAGAGCTAAGAATGCTAAGCATGTCAGACGAATTGAGCATAAACTAGGTGTTGTAAGTTTTTTCTCTATCTTTCTATTAGTGGACGAGCCTGTGAGGGTCTCGTTCTCACTCCTTGTGAATACAGTAGTTTTGGAATTGACTCGACTTAATGAAAAAGACCCAGGTACTAGAGTGGTACCTTTTTGCAACATGTTTTTATCCAAAATATATCATTAACTTTCATTAGACATAACTTAGTTGCGGAAGAAAGGATATATGTGGATTCATACATACCTTAGTTTGAGATTCTGAATTCATTGACAGGCCCAAGCCAAAAAGCTAAGAGCAGAGAAACTGCTATCCAAGATAGAATCGTTAATGCTTCCTGCAGGTCCTGATTATGATCAGGAAACAATCACTGATGAGGAACGGGTTATGTTTTGTAGGGTTGGTTTGAGAATGAAAGCATACTTGCCTCTGGGTAAGTAATCTTCTAATTTTTGAGGTGAAGATAAAATATTTAGCTGAAACACTGATGGCCTTTATTACATTTTGTACCAGGTATACGTGGTGTCTTTGATGGTGTCGTCGAGAACATGCATTTGCATTGGAAGCACAGAGAACTAGTGAAATTAATAAGCAAGCAAAAGACTCTTGCTTTTGTTGAAGATACAGCTAGGTTATTGGAATATGAGAGTGGTGGTATACTTGTGGCAATAGAAAGAGTTCCAAAGGGATATGCTCTCATTTACTATCGTGGAAAGAATTATCGGCGACCCATTACCTTGAGGCCAAGGAACCTTCTAACTAAGGCTAAAGCATTAAAACGCTCAGTGGCCATGCAACGCCATGAGGTTACTATTTTTTTTCCCAGTTTTTTGTTGAAATACATTTCCGCTGATATTTTTCTCTCGTTGATGTCCTTCGCCTCACACTAGATCTCATATGTCCCATGCAGGCTCTCAGTCAGCACATATCTGAACTGGAGAAGAACATAGAACAAATGAAATCGCAAGTTGTAAGTTATAATTTCTCGTTACAGCACATATCTGAAGCACTGTTGATAAAATCATTGACCACTATATGTTTATTCATCTTCATCTGTTCACTGTGCGATCCAAGCGTATGCCCCCCTCCCACACGGCCAACTTGGTGTTGCTATTACAGTTATTGTTTCTCCAATAATATGCATGATATAATTTTGTGTTTTTGTATGGGTGTTTGCTCATGCCCATGACCATTGACCATAGCTTTGTTGATTGTGAACAGGGTATTTCTGAAGATGATGTTGATGAGAGTTCCTGGAGCTCAAGAGATCCCGAGCAGATTCATCGTGCCTTGGAATTAGTCCAAGTGAGATATTATACTGTTTCTCATTGCCATCTATTTACTATCAAGTGGTCCTGATCTCCAACCAGATTGTTTGTATAGTTCTGTGACCGGTTTAGAGGGCAAAACATGAGAATTTAAATTTTTAGCATGCCTCTTCTAGACAGATTTTGGCTTTCCTTAACTATTTCCTTATCGAGCAACGAGAGTAAAATGTTTGGTTCTTATCTGCAGAGCGAGGGTGAAGATGAGGATGAAGATGAAGATTCATACGTGGATTCAGATGGCAACGGTGAAGATTCTGATTGGGAAAACGAAGAATAAAACTTTCGCGCATTTGAACGCATGATCAGTTTCGAGCATGAGCAAGAACTGTTGACGACGGCAAAACATGGGATGCTTGTAAGAATTAGTGTTGCAGTCCTACCTGGTGGCTTCTGTCTAAATATGTGAATGATTATCTGCGACTCGGAGCGTAAGATGGTTCCAATTACTTCAAAGAGGACTGCGTTGGAAGCAAGGGAGTAAAACTCCGACATTGAAACAGAAAGGCTTTTAGCATAGACAAAATTCTGATGTATTTCGTTGCTCGACGACATTTTGTGCATACCACAAATGGATGTAGATTTAACATCTCAAGATTAGTTAAGTTGTAACGTTCTGAAACAGGAAAATCAAATTTTGAAAAGTTAAAACTACTACACGTCGTTTTTACAAGACTATTGCATCAAGTAATAAATTAAGTCGCACAAGTTTGGATCACTGAATGGTACAACGATATCTGGGAGCAAAAATTGAAGTAAAACGCGGTCCCTAATTCCGGCTGAAAATATTGAAAAATTCAAGAGTTTATTGGCGCAGTATCTGCTGTAGCTGTAGCACCTGATTCCTTTGTTCTGGAGGCAGGAGGTTAATTTGTTCCGGTGTGAGGCTCATGACCTGCTGAAGCAGTGCCTTCTCCATCTCAGGGGACAACTGCACAAATGCGCATAAGAGTTGAATGATGAATAATAGGAAAACTCAACCTATAAACAAAAGCTCCGGCTCAAGTCTAATATGAGAAGTAGCAGATATCTTACCGGTGCCTGGCGAGGAGGCTGGCCGCCAGGGCCCATTTGACCAGGACCTAACGGTGGCGGTGCTGAAAGTTGTGGCACTGTCGAACTCTCTGGTGGACCGGACATCCACGATCCTCTATCAACTTGCATGGAAGATCCAGCTTGATTGTTGAACTCTGAACCTAAATGCATGCCTCCACCCTGAAAGATAAAAAAGCCTTAGGCTAGGTTAGATTTTTGTCCTCCACCGATCCTTCAAACATGGGATGACAAAGAAAAGTGGAGTAAACAGGGCATGCGTTTTTTATTCTAGAAACTACTGAAACATTACCTAGAATCAAAGCATCCTTAACTAATAAACTAATGATTTACAAGGCAGTTGCAAAAGAGAGAATAAAAAAACATAAAACCAAAAACGTATACCTGATACATAGATTGAGGTGGTGGTTGACTTGGAAGTGGTGGTTGTCCCTGTGGAAATGAAGGCCCAGCGCTAACAGGGGGTTTCGTACCTGACTGAGCAGATAAGAAATAAAAGCAATTAACCTAATCACATATATGCCATACATTTGATAACGACTGGTGAACTATAAACTTCAACTTACATGAAACATGGATTGTGAAAGATGTTGGGGAGGAGCATGTTGGTAACCCATGTTGGGCCCCATTTGCGGCGGATACTGGTGATGGAAGTTAGGCATTGAAGGTGGTCTTGGTTGTGGTGGCAATGGTGGTTGCAACGGCATATGAGAAGACACTCCAGATGTCTGTAATGACTGTTGCAACTGGCTGGAAACAGCAGGCATTTGGGTTTGATGAAGCGAAGGTGGCTGTGAAGAAGAATGAAGAGGATGTGCAGGCATATTTGGGAGTTGAGAGGACTGTGGAAGAGAAGTCGGTGTCATTTGAGGATTTAGATGTCCCTTAGGCTGCTGTGGGCTCAGCAGGGGACGTGAAGGCATAGGCTGAGACTGAACATTTATAGATGGAGCACCAGCTGATGAACTAGGCATTGCTGGTTGGTTTTGGTATTGCTTTCTCAGAGGAGCTTGGATCTGAGATGGCCCAGTTTGGTCCTGCAAACCAACTTGACCGGGCAATGAGGGAGCAGCCTGAGTGCTTGGCTGCTGAGTTTGTTGTGTCGACTGCTGAGAATTATGTGACGTCAGTGGCTGAATGCTGGGAATCTACAGACAACCTCAATTTAGCATGTAACATAAGTGGAAAAATATGAAAACACTTAAACGACAAGCTTTCTGGAAAAAGAAAAAACATACCACTTGAGGTGGCCGCACCATTCCAAGCATAATCTGCGCCTGTGAACGAATACAAAATGCAGAAACACAATCAGCAATCATATCAGTAGTTAAAGGTAAAATCGATAATTCCAGAGCAACAACCTACTTAACAGCGACCACGAATCAGTAATCGCTTAATACAAATGCCTAACAAATATATTCTCCAAACTCTCAAACAGCATGATACAAAAACATAAATCACACATTAATTTAGCAATTAACAAAAGGAAAATCAAATTTTCTCATTCGGAACTAAATTAAGCAACTTCCTAACAAAGCCATTCGTACCATTTGAACTTTGAACCCTAATCGCACAAAATTATCTCAAGAAAAGAGAAAAGCACCAAAATTGACACAAACGAAATCCTAACTACACAAAATCCTCTGAATCAAAACCAAATAAAAGGGGAAAATTCGAAATAAAGGAACCCTAAAACCCTAAAAAATTAGGAACCTGGAAAAGAGCTTTGGTGAGGGGCGGATTCTGAATGAGGATCTGCCTCGCCTGCTGCTGGTTCTGTTCTATCAAATTCTGCATTCAAAGAAATAAAGAAAACGAACGTCGACATTATTCGTAGGTCAATTTTGGGTGTTTGGAGTGACAGAAAATTTCGGAAGGAAAATTGGAGAAGAAATAGAAAATTCGAGGGTGGTAGGGGATACCTTCATTTGAGACATGATGTCGTAAAGCTGGTTCTTCGACATTCCGGCGATGTTCGCCGGTAGGCCGTCGCCTGAGAGTTGCTTTCCCGCCATTGTGCACTGAGACTGCGAGAGAGAGAGGAGAGAGGAGAGAGACGGAGACTAGAAAGCGCGCTTCTGGGGTGTGCTGGTTATTTTCAACGGTTAAATGGGCCTGGGCCGCGTTTTTAACGATAATTTGTTATGATTTGGGCCGCGTTTTTTATTTTCATTTTTATATAGTCGACTCGATTTGTTCCATCAATAAAATCCTGACCGTTGAAATTATGATGATTTATGATTCTATAGGGGTAAGTCGTGGAATCATCGGATGAGTTAGGAATAGGTGGAGAAGAAATTAAAATAGGATAAACTATTCTCTCATAATTATTTAATTATTGAAAACAAAACTATTCTCTAATAATTGATTTAGTTACATTTTTTTTTACATTGTAATGTACGTATTTGTTGGTTTCATATTTGTTACTAAACGTAGAGAAATCATGTATCATATTTATTTTAATACTGAATACAACTCATTCCAAATAGGTTCATATATACAAATATTCCTTGAGAATGTTTTAGTCGATTTAAAGATAATTAAATTTTTTTAAATGTGATTAGCTAGGTATCTCGTTCATACACAATTAACATAAATTCACTCCTCATTAATTAAGACATTGTGTAAATCTGAATAGTTTATATTTCTTTTGAGATCTCGAAATAACTTTGCATTTATCTGCTAATTTGGTTCGAATTTTGCAATAATATTAAAAAACATTCATTTTCTTAACCATCACCTTCATTGTGTAGACTACCGTAAGAAATTTGAGGGAGAAATGTGTTGAGATGTTTGACCATGAAAAAGATGTTTACATAATATAAGAGGGCACAAATTGAACATAGGGAGTTTTCTCTATACCAGCATGCATTGATCATATCTGGACCAACATAAGTAACAGTACTAACTCTTCAACATAATTATACCCATAAACTAGGGCAAGAACCCTATTATTTTTCGATATTAGTCCAACATAGTTATAAATATATGGAACATTATCGAACTTTACTGCGTGCATGTGAGAAGTCTACTCTCCCTGTGGTACTGCATTTGTTTCATAACCAGTACTTCAGGATTAATACAGCAACGATGCTGAACTTTACAAGATGTGAGCTTATTCGTTGGATCAGGCCGTACACTTCACAGCTTCACCAGATGGAGTCCAAATTGAATGGTTGCTCCGAATGCTGCAGCGGCATCGATTCCATCATTTGATCATTAGTACTCGACGAAGAAGCTTGGAAATTTGAATTTATATGATCCATAGTAGTACTGGATCCAAAGTGATGAGACATTGACGGCATCATTCCTTGCTGCTGGATATGATCATATGATGAGTAATCTAGAGTACTAGTGCCTGCTGTAGCTTGAACATGATTAGTAGCTCTTGGTTGATAATTACTACCATTATTATTAGTACTACTCCTAAGTTGTAATGCCCTAAGAAGCAACGAATTCACCGAAAGATTCGAGGGACTTAGCAAGCTTGACGGCAATGAAAGAGCGTTGGCGGCTGCCTCTCTTGCCGCTGTTGCTGCCCAAGTCATTTTCAAACTCATGTTGGTAACGTCGTTTATGTTGTTCTTGCTATGATCAAGAATATTGCTGTAATAGCTTTGGGGTGAAGAAATGTTGTTGCTGAACCCGCTGGATGAATTTGCGTTAATATTGCTGTTTAGGTTTGGCAGCTCGATGTCTCCGAATTCGTTAACAATTGAGTTCGTATCGTCGCATGGAGACTCGTTGGTTGGCTGCTTCTGTGAGGATGTTGTTGCTTGTTGTGGCTTTTTCAATGCACTAATGTTTTTTTGGAAAACCCTACAAACCACCCATTCTTCCTGCATAAATTAAACCTAGCAAGTTAAGGAATTATATATAATATAATCGAGTTATAAAGGCCAAGTGTTTAAGATTGTTTCTTAAATGGCTTAAAGCACTTTATGGCAGCCAAAAGTGCTTATGACTATTTTTTACAGAAAAAGTTTGGAGTTTTTATGTTTAATAGAAGACTTCTCTGAACAAACACCTTTTTAATTTAGAAGAACCTCCAAGTGTTTTTCAGGCACTTCTAGCAAAAGTGTTATCAGTCGAAGAGGTTTTAAGATAACAGCCCCAAACGATCCAATTGTTGTACTTCTGTAGTAATTTGTACCTTTGAGGATTTGAAAGGATGCTTGTTTTCTAGTCTGTATTCATGCATGACCCAGTTGCTTTTCTCACCCCTTGGAGCTCTGCCCTTGTAGAAAACTAGGGTTTTCTTCATCCCAACCAGCACACCTACACGACGTATTTCCTTGTCTTTCCCAGTTGTTTTCCAGTAGCCGGCTTCCGTGGCTCGGTTGGTTCGAAGTCCAGTTGGATATTTTCGGTCTCTCAGGTTGAAGAAGTACCATTCTTTCTCTCCCATCGAAGCCTTGCCTGCACCAACCGCATAATAATTTAGTTTGTTATAAGTTGCATATATCCCTTAAATACTTTACCGTAAAGAAATTATTCCTATCAAAATTATGAATATTTAAGCTAAGAACGTTCGGAAAACATAGTATTCAAGTATATCTTTTGGTAAATTAGTATAAGAAAAAATGCATATTGTGAAACAATTTTTAAAGGTCTACTTGCATTTTTTAATAAAAAGATCTACTGTAAATCTAAGAAAAGTCCACTATATGAAAAAATGTCGGGGGAACTGTGTATTTGGTGTGGTTGGCAAACAAATCAGAAAGGAAGGAAGAGAATGGAACATTTCATTCCCATTTTGATCCAAGCAATAGTCTATATTGAAGTAACCCAAATTGTAGGGAGAGAGACTCGAACTTAGTGCTCTAGTCAACTTACTAAGCCTAGATCTGCTCCCCAAACTATCCCTTCTTCCTTTTTGGATTACATGTAGTGTTCAGGAAAGATTGCTTTACTTGCGTAAATTCAACAAAGGCAAATTTAAGAAATACAGATTGTGATCTCATCAAGATCGTTACTAAAAGCAAGGAATGAGAAACGAAATATCATAGAAAATTAGGTATAATCAGATGAATTTAGATGAAGAGGCAAACATGTAAGGCTGATATACAGAAGAATAGGGTTGAATATGATGCACATATAAACATATAATCTGACCATATATATACCTGGGAGGTCCCAAGGTTCACACTTATTAAGATCAACGACTGCTACTGCTTTCGACGTGAAACTAACATCGGAAACCTTGTGGCACAGATAGTGCGTTATCAGTTCTTCATCTGTAGGATGGAATCTGAACCCTGGAGGAAGACTCTCTTGCATTCTTGATTCGATAAGCAAACCAAGTGGATTTGATTTCGATGCGAAATTAAGAAAAGGCAAGCAGCTAGCAGAAACCCTAGTATGGATATCTGATGCTAGCCGGCCAGCTTAAAAGTAAAGCTCAAGGTGATCAGGTATTAATGGTTTGTACTTTGTGTTGTATAAACTCAATCTTCAACAAGAAGCAGCCTAGCCATTAGCCACATTATTCTTATTATATTTTGATAACTACAGCTAACACTTTGACAAAGATGGTAATTGGAAAGTCCTACTTTTCTTAAGAAATTAAATAATTGAATTTACCAAAACACCCCAGCTACTACTATACTTGAACAAGTAAGAGGGGTATGTATATTTTCTGGTAGTCGTCTCTGAGGCTTGAGATTATTACCAAGCTCCATACGGCTGTGGCATTGACTACGAATGATTCAATCAAGGTGGATAAGACAATTGTGTCGTTTTAAATGAAATTTGGTAGAAGATGAGTGGCAAGGCATGAGGTTTTCTCTTTGTTGTACCAGATTTCATGTATTTTGCTTCTAATTCCATGATCCAGTCCAACAACCTTCACCCATTTCTACCCACCAAACCTTGGCTACGCTATTACCACGTACTATCAGTCCAATGGGAACCTGGCAATCTATACAGTATTATCCCTTTTCATCCAATCATAAATTACCGACATTTGTCATCAATTGACATCTTAAACAAGTTGAGGGGAAAGTTCAACTCCTTAAAAGAACACATGTAAAATCCCTCAATTTCTTGACATGAATTCACATTCTCAACACACCCTTCATGCATGATACTATTTAAGTCTAAAACGTAGACAACACATATTGGAAGCAGATGAGCAGTATATCATAAATGAAGTTGATGTTCTACCATAAAAGTGAAGAAAATTGAATAACAACTATAAAACCAATTGACAATAAAAGAAATCACTCAACTCTTTATAAACACGTATATAATTCCTTAATTTCTGTATCAGATTAACACTCTAAACAACATCATCTCTCTTCTAATTGTGAAAGTCGTTGCAACTCTTTGATTACTATAGTATATGAAGTTTAATTAGTTTATTTATTATCTTAAACAATACCAAATATAGCCTATATACGGATACATTCATGGATAGATTGCTTGATATGCTGCAAATTTTAATTAATTAGATTGCATGTTTGGAAGTTTGCATGATATGATAGTTTGTTTATGGCAAAGAATATTGCATAATTGACAGTTCAAAGATCTTTCAATGCATATATAATGGTTGGCTGTAGGTGTAGGCTATAGGTGTGGCTTATGTTCTGATTCTGATTTATTTAATTAATTATAATCAGTGTGCACAAGTTTACCAAGAGTGGTTAAAATGGTGACCAACCCGCACGACCGTATCTAAAGCGTTTCTGTTGGATCTTTTTCTTCATTCACTCACTCACCTCCTTTTGTCTTCGAAGCTTTGCATAAAATTCAATCCTAACTCCAGCTTTTGATGTAGTACTACATCCATCTTTCCTGCATGCTAGGGTTTCTAGAAGACTAGAAACATCTCTCTCTCGGGTGCTCATTATTATATCTTTGGGTTAAAATTTACACGATGATCACTGTATCATTACCTTTTGCATAAGTTTGATGATAAGAAAAAATAAGGATGGTGACTTTTGGTCAAAGTTCTAAAAGACGTTAGGCACGGCTGACAAAGATTTAGCACCTAGGTGTCTAGGTGGTACTTTTTTATAATTAAAATATATAACATATAAATAAATGTCTACTCATACTTAAACAAATACATAATTATATGAGGATATATAAATTGCAAAATAAAATGACACATAAGTTATAAAGTACTATAATATATTGAAAACATTGTGAACAAGCATGCATATATATAATGAGCATTTATCTAAGTACCTAGCAAATAGCTTATGATTTATTGAAAAAATAAAATGCAAAAAATTGAAAGTTATTTATTTTTTGTCTATGTGAGAGTCGAGACTTAAGTGGTCTAAGAGGGTGTCTAGGCAAGTTTAGGCTGACCAGGTGGGTACCTAGGCAGATATAAGCATCATTTTTTATTTTTTAAACTCCTATGAATTAATCGTGGCAATCGACAATTGTCTAGGCGATATTTTTTAGAACATTGCATTTGATTTGAAAATTTAATTTACAATGCCTTTTTGAATTAGAAGCTGGAAACTCCCTCCTATTTTATTAAAAAGACTTTTTATTAACAAAAGCGTTATTTATTTATTTATTTTTTTTTTTTGTGAAAAGAAGAAAGAAGACGTGATGGTGATCTTCCATTGGCACCTCCTCCTTGCCTGATGATACCACCAGCTAGTCCATCCCCACTGCATCCGACCACCTATCCACCAATACATCTCCTTTATCTCTCTCTCTCTCAATATCGAAACTCCCTTCATTTTTACTTATTACCAAAACTTATTGGTGCTTAATTTGAACCGAATTGAATAACTCACTACATCCAAGCTACTTTGAAAGAAAGAAACAAGAAATGTCGTCCAGTTTAAAAGTAGAAGAATGATGAATCATAACAGTTTTACCCTTCATAGAATCATGCAATGGAGCTTTCCGTGAGTTATATGGTGAAATTCTGTTTACACTCAAGAATTGTCTTTTGACATCCAATTTTATTAAAAAGAGTTCAAGACAGTTTTACCCTTTTACATGTAGGAGCCCCTCTATCTAATAACAATTTATTAAAAGTGTTAATAATTTTTTTATTTCATTTATTTTTAAATTTTTTTTGTAAAAAGAAAAAAGAAGACATGATGGTGATCTTCCATTGGCGCCTCCTCCCTACCTGACGACACCACCAGCTAGTCCATCCTACAGCATCCAACCACCTATCCACCAATACTTCTCCTTTATCTCTCTCTCAAAATCGATCCAATGGTGGTGGTGGTCCTAAAGGAGTCCTTATGTGCTTCATAGCTGAACAGTGAACACCATAGCCTTCTTAGCCACTGCTACTCACTCCAATCGCCCGACCTCCTCTTCTCAATCCTAGTGCAAGGCACTCTCTCTGGTTAGTCCATAGCCAAAACAACAGGCAATTACTCAAAATTAAAAAGGAAAAAACGTTGCTTGAAAACCTTGTGCATACAAGGTGTTCCCTAGTCTCTATCCCCCCCTCTCTTCCAATGGAGGCTTGGCCATCAAAAACTCTAATTTTCTTTTCTCTTTTTAATTTTGTATTTGTTTTTATCAGTGTTAGGTTGTGCAGGCAAAGATTGTCAAAGGAAATAAGTGTCTTTATGGTCAACATAGTTCGGCCATCTGAATACTAAACTAAGAAGTGCAACTGAGAGCAACCGTTCATAAAACACCTCACTTTGTCAGGGCTAATGAAGTGACCCCGACCTAGATGTAAATAGAAAACCAACCAACCAGAAACAGTGTTGTTTACTTGTCCAAAGTGAAGATGCTTCTATATCACTCAACTTTCAAGTTCCAGTGTTGCTTACTTATCCAAACTAAAGATGTCGCTAGTTGTCAATGCAGTGATGTTTACTTATTGAAAGTGAAGTTGTGTTGATAAGAGCATTAGGATAGTATTTTTCTCAGGGTTGTGAAACAAGTTTGGGCTGTGAGAAGGGTTTTTTGTAGAGTAAGGGTTTTCAAGTAGAGCATTTTGAGTTGTTTGTTGAGTTGAAGAGATCTCTACATTGCAAATCCTCTCATATTTATAGGAACAAATTTTCTTGATGCCCAAGTATGCCGAATTGTAATATTATGATAATATTCCAATTCCTCAGCATATTCTTTGAATATGTTCAGAATAATTTTTGGCCAAAACTCTAGCACTAATTCTCACCCTTTTTTTATTAAAACTCTGAACCTAAACTTATTATGTGACTTATTCATTCTTCATCCCACCAGCCACAATCTTCAATCTTTAGAATATTCTGATTCTTATCAGAAAACATCTCAATCTCAACGACTCTAACTTACCCGAGACTCGGCTACTCCATCAACGATGCATTTTACTTCTGGCCCGAGACTACCGAAACTCAATTCTGCCAAAATCATGATTTAGGCCCAAACACGTTCCTTGAAAACCCTTGTGCATACAAGATTCTCCCTAGTCCGTCTCTCCCCTCTCCAATGGCGGCTTGGCCGTAAAAAAATTTCATTTTTTTATTTCTAGTTTTTTTTTTATTATTAATTTTCAAATTAATAAATCTTTTTTAAAGGTTCTAGTATATTCTTAAATGTGTTTGGGTGTCCAGAGAAATTAAGAATAATTAGGGGTACCCAAAGAAATTGTGTGTCTAGAGACAACTTTGGGTGTAAACAGAAATTTCCGAGTTATATTTAGGAATGTATTTAGTATTGGGGAATCAAGAATTGGATAAATTTTTCAGTGTGGCTAGAACACGAACACATACGCCATATGTCACTTGAAAAAAAAAAATCCCATGACCAAAAAAAAAAAAAAAAAAACACAACCCTCCATTTGTAGAACAACATATGGCGTATCACCCCGTGTTTCCGGCCACGTTAAAAATCTCTTTAGGAATTGATGTTTTTGGGGCTTGTCAAACAAAGGTACGAAGTTATAGTTAAAAGCTCAGTCCATTGTAGTCACTTAATACTACGGTCTAGTGATATTATATTCCTCTTACCTTGTAAGTGAGATGTCTTACGTTCGATTATCGCTAAAGCGAATTTGAACCACATTATTGCTAGCCTATTGTGAGACGCTCACTCCCCCACCCCTTTATGCGGATAATATCGTTTGTAAAAAAATAATAATAAAAGGCTTAGTCCAGTGTAAACTAATTAATTAATACAAATCATAGTTTAGTGCTTCATATTCTGGTGATTTGATTCGTGCCTGATAAAGTAATCAACCGCTGATTGGATCGACAAACATGTCTGCAGAAATCTTAATGGCAAAGTTAAAGACAAGAAGAAACAACTAAGAAGATTTCCAAAAGAGAAGCTCCAATTGACACCGCCTCTAATTCATAGCTTTATAAAAAGGTTCTTTATATATTATAGGAGGCAAAGAATACTAATACCTTCAAGCCTCCACTAATTATCTAACCAAAACCTTGTCCAGAAACTTATGTCATGTCCTCTTTTTTTTTTTTATCTAATTACCTAATTGAAATTATTATTATTTTTTTCGACTTCTTTTTGTTTGGAAATAATATT